CGTGCCACTGGGGAGCGCGAAACATGCTGGTGTAAACGCGGCGCGTCCCTGGTGAGCGGGATGATTGGCGGAATCGTGTGATAGGATTGCTTCTGACAGACCGTGTGGCGAATTACGTTCGTGACGTCGCAGTGCCATGCGGATTTGCGCGGCCTTGGTGGAAAGTGCGTTTGCGCGGCGCCGTGCCACGGGGGAGCGCGAAACATGCTGGTGTAAACGCGGCGTGTCGCTGGTGAGCGGGAATTGGCGGTATCGTGTGATAGGATTGCTTCTAGTGTGTGGGCAGACCGTGTGGCAAATTTGATATCGCTGTGCCATGCGGATCTACGCGGGCTCGGTGGAAAGTGCGTTTGCTTGGGGCCGTGCCACTGGGGAGCGCAAAACATGCTGGCATCAACGCGGCGTGTTGCTGGTGAGCGGGGTGATTGGTGGTATTATGTGACACATTTGCTTTTAGGCTGTGACACACAGTGTCGCGAAATTACGTCCGTGATGTCGCTGCGCCATGCGGACTTGCGCGGCCTTGGTGGGAAGTGCGTTTGCGTGGCGCCGTGCCGCTGGGGAGCGCGAAACATGCTGGTGTAAACGCGGCGTGTCGCTGGTGAGCGGTGAGCGGGAGGATTGGCGGTATGGTGTGATAGGATTGCTTCTTAGTGTGTGGGGGCAGACCGTGTGGCGAATTGCGTCCGTGATGTCGTAGTGCCATGCGGATTTGCGCGGCCTTGGTGGAAAGCGCGTTTGCGTGGCTGGCTCCAACCTTTGTGATACAGTGCTACCCCAAAAACATGTTACCGTACATGTTACCGACAAACGGTTCATCCCTCAGCTTTGTTTTCGTTATAACGCTTACTCCTACTACTATACTCTCGGGCCACCCTGTCGTCTAGTTGATAGAAGCCGTGTCGGCCCTTTCTTCCAGACTGTCTTCTCTGTCTCCGTGCCGCCAGCTATGCTTTGCTGAACGTTCACTTGTTCCAGGAGAAGCGCAAGCGAGCTTGCAGTCTCAGGCCTTTGCTGATGATTCCAGATTCCAGGACAGTGGGACAGCCGAGGGATGCAGTACTCTGCTTTGCCATGCCTCCGCCTCTAGGGAGTCGGCCCTGCCACAACCTATTGCGTGGGATGGTTCCAGATTGAAACATAGCATCTGAGATCACAGGAATCTTCTTCTACTGGCGCGGCCAACATGTTTTTGCTTTCCAGGAGCTTGTCCAGCAAATGCTGGAAGAACACGTTGTGACTGTCAGTGACTTGCGAGAGGTGCCACAGGATTGTGCAAGATATTTGTGTAACGTAGCCTACACATGACACACAATTACTTCCCGCAAGGTAAAGCTAAATGATGAACTTCGGGAAGACAAGCAAGAGTTGCGCTTTCAAGCAAACTGCATGAATACAGTACAGAAAAACCTTGTAAGGAAGGGGCCTTTGCGCAGGGCCTGACTCAGGATTGCATCATGTGTACATTTGTGTTGTATGTACAATGATTCCCTGCGGGGAGTAAGTAGATGAGAGGAGTCAAGCTGCAGAGCGAATGATTGATGATGGGCTAGATCGATAGACTCGTTGATGTCCTAGTGTGGAGGTGGAATACACCGACAGGTGAATTTAGATACAGCTCGGATCACGTACGAATTGATTCAGCATAGGAATTTGGAGGGCCCCACAAAAGGACACACACATATCACAAGTGAGTGGGCAAACTTAAAAGAAGCAAAGGTTGTTCGAGCAACTTTTTCCACTCAAGTTATCAGTGAAACCGGCGCTGAAACACCCGAGAGTACAATATCGCTGCATTTGTGGTCATTCTCTTACGGATGTGTGCTGGGGAATTTTCAGGCAACATATCCACTGACGTATGACAGTTGCTGCCAGAGCTGTACTATGCAAGAGTGTGCGCTCGACAATGGTGGTCGCAACGTCTCTTGGCGACGAGCGCAGTGTTTTTGGGTCCTTGTTGGGTCTTTGTTGCTGCCTCGCCTCGCTGCGCTGGGGTCGCTCCCAATTCTTCACTTTCGTTCCCGCTTCTCAAGTGGTGTTTTGGGCAAGTTGGGCTTGTACAGTTATGTAAAGTCCAAGGTCACATTTACGTTAACATGTTTTTTCGTTTGGCCCGCTTCCCCCTCCCTACTCATATAATGAAGTAGGGGCTTCTTTAATTATATAAGTAAGGGAGAGGTAGCTACTACCTGCAAGTAGCTATATACTGAGTTGCTACCGTAGATGGACGAAATATTCAAACCCTTTCAACCACGTGGACCCCTTCTACCCCAAAGCTCAATGTTAGAGGCCTTGCAAGAATGTTTCGGCGAATGGACGAAACAAATCAAGCCCTGGAAACACAAATTCAATCAAGTTATGTTCAATATTGACCTTTGGGGGCCAGGGGTTGGCGACAGTTATTGATACAGGGGTTGAATATTTGGTCCATCTACTGTCTAAAGGTGTGACGTTTGCGTATTTTTGGCTCGGTAAGTATCAAGTCTAACGTAGTACTCTGTGTTTTCATCTTCTGCGCTCAACAACTCTTTCGCATCGACGCGTTGCGAGCGAGGACAGCAGACGTCAGGAAAGCAAGCCAGATGAAGAGCAGCTCCAGCTACTGTTCTTACTGTTGCCATTTGCAGTGTCTGTTCCCAGTGCCTTTCCAGTGCCTTTTCAATGCCTTTTCCAGTGCCTTTTCACGGTTTGTGTGCGTGAAACACAATTTTGCTGGCAGGGCCTTGAGAAAGTGCAAAAGGCATTGGAAAAGGCACTGGAAAGGGACTGGGAACAGACACGGCACATGGCAACAATAAGAACAGTAGCTGGAACTGCCCGTCATCAATTGAAAACAACACACGCATGTGCGTCTGTAGGTCTCCGGTCGCCGTCCACACCCAATACCGCAGATGGCGAAATATTCAAACCCTTTCAACCCCATGGACCCCTTCTACCCCAAAGCTCAATGTTAGAGGTCTTGCAAGAATGTTTCGGCGAATGGACGAAACAAATCAAGCCCTGGAAGCACAAATTCAATCTAGTTATGTTCAATATTGACCTTTGGGGGTCAGGGGTTGG